GGATAGACACAAGACTCCATTAAGCACATGGTTGCAAAAAGACACAAAGCACTTTAAAATACATAAAGTCACATTTATACATAAAACACAGACATTTCACATATCCCCAGATAGCTCAGGTCTGAGCGCACATTATTAAGTGAATGGCGCTCGGACCACACAAATACAGTTTAATCACCATGGAGCCAAAGTCTTTACAGTCAGTTTCATACGAATGGGCTCCATGGGATTCCCATCTGGGGTATAACACATTCAAACAAATCTACTGAAACTCAGGCAGAAAAGCACGACTGAAGCTTTTCTGCAGGTAAAAAAGATGTCTTTTAACAGGGGGCCATAGTCCAAAGGCAGCAGGCGAGCAACCAGGCTTCTCCAATGCAATGTGGCGAGATTGGTCTCGTCACACCAAGGACAAGTTGTCCTTCTTCGCGGACGGCACACCGCAATCTAAAACCGCAGACATACAAACCCAAGATGGCACCGAGTCAGACACTGATGGCGAACACATGACGGGAATGACGGTGGATAAAACAACTCTGCAACACATGCTGGACGCACTAGCACACAAAATGCAGGTGACAGTACAGTCAGCAGTGGCAGACTTACGGAAAGATATAGCTGATATAGGTAACCGCACCTCACACCTAGAAAACAGAATGGAGGAATTCACTGTGGCCCATGACTCTATGGCTGACAAGATGGAGGAGCTGGAAAGCAAAATGGAATGCTGTGAGTACAAACTTATGGATAAGGAGGACCGCTCACGCCGCAACAACTTGCGGCTGCACGGCATTCCAGAGGAAGTTCCCCAAACAGAGCTCACAGCCTATGCCACTGAGTTCTTCCACTCCATGCTGCCAGACATCCCGACAGACATGCTGATCCTGGACAGAATCCACAGAGTGGCGAGGCTTGCTCACATACCTACTTCCACTCCACGAGATGAGGATCCACTATTTCCATGTGAAAGAACAGATCCTCAAAGCTAACCGGACCGGCAAGAATGGAAAGGAGAAATTTAAAGATGTCCTGATATTTGCGGACCTCTCAGCGGAAACCCTGCGGAGACGAAAATCTTACCGAAATGTTACGGAGACCCTCCGCCAACACACCATTCAATACCGCTGGGGATACGTGGTGAAGCTCCTGATCCACAAAGAGGGCAAGATACATGTGATCACCTCTAACCAAGAGAGTGCAGAGCTTCTGCAAACCTGGGGATTATCTGAGAACACCTCCAACACAGGATTGACACAAAGCAACAAGATCCACGGGGAATGGAAAACGGCAAAGTCGAGGGGAAATACCCAGCGACCGGCACAATGAACAATATGGGACATTCAAAAACAGGCACAGGTTTGGTTTAAAGGGGCCTGATGGACTGGGAGGGCGGAGAGAGGGGACCAAATCCCTACCGACTAGGGGATGGGGATTTCACCCATGGGCCCAGGTATTGGGGAAACACAGGTAGGATAGCTAGTTGAAGACAGACACGAAAGAGACAAGGCCCATGGGGACCCATGGCAGACATAGACTGCCCTCCTCTCCCGAACCCCAGACAAGACCCCCGAGTAAAGGCCTCAACTGTACTCATAGTGATGAAAGACGGGTCAGGGCGGACAAAAAAAAAAAAAAAGATATGGGTATGTATATGTGTATGTATACATGTAAATATGTATGTGAGTGCATGGATTCTATGCACATACAAAAAAAAAAAACCCATGCCAACAATGCACATAGCGTGGGAGGTCTGACCGTAGGCCCTCCCCTCAGACAGGTGGGCGACAGTCAATACCCTAGAGAGCAGACTCCACGACTATAACAAGACGGGCTACAACCCCTTCACAAAAACCAACCCCCCTGCAGACTCCACCGACTTACAGTGTTAGCAGTTACCGAGCTCTGGCTATCGGAGAGTGACAGACTTGGACCCAGACCGGCCGGACACGGCCACCCAACCCCTACCCAAGGAGGTCAACCACACGACCTCCAAGTTCACATCCATGAACACCTCAATAGTGGTGTTCGCATATTGTTTTAAGTTACTGTTGTTTATGTTATGGTTTACAAATGTATGTTCCTTGTACAACTGTGTCGGAACAATGTTGCGATGTCGTACGGCTAATCCTCCCCTTAGCTACACACTTTATGTACCCATAGTTATACAATGAGTTCCAAACCAGCACATTCTACCACTAAAACTATATTATGAAGATTTACAAGCACAACGTTAGAGGTCTGAATACCCCACACAAAAGGCACACCCTACTTAAAGACCTAAAGAACACGCAGGCAGACATAATTTGCCTGCAGGAAACACACTTCCAATCCACCACCAGTCCAGTCCTGGGGAAGGCAATGTACCCGCACCAGTTTCATGCTACTGCGCCCACGAAGCGCAAAGGGGTTTCAATTCTAATCAGCCGACACCTGGCCTTTGACGAAATAACAGTCAAAAGAGACCCACGCGGCAGGTACATCATATTAATCTGTACTATTAACAGTTCTACAAATACAATAGTCAACACGTACATGCCGAACGCAAACCAAGGCGGGTACCTCCATAACCTCATGAAGCTCATAACTCCAATGCAGACAGGCACAATGATCATCTGCGGGGATTTTAATCAGTTTCAAGACCCCGCACTAGACTCAACAGCGAAGCACTTGCCCCATAGAACCAAGGTACTCCACAGGCAATGCAAGTCCTTAACCAAGCTTCTACAGGCACACGGTCTATACGACGCATGGCGCACACTGCACCCAACTGAGAGGGAATACACACATTTCTCCCAGGTACACAACACGTACTCAAGGATAGACGGCTTTCTCCTACAGAGCGCACACCTGAACCGAGTGGTGGCATGTGAAATAGGGGCCTCCACTTGGTCTGACCACAACCCGGTTGAGCTCACAATAACAGACCATTACAACTACAAAAATAGAGGCCTGTGGAGGCTCAATGAGCAACTCCTCAACGATCATCACTTCGTCCAAACACTACAACAAGACATGCATACATACTTCCATTCTAACGACACCCCCGATATCACCCCGCTAACCCTCTGGATGGCTCACAAACTGGTTATCAGGGGCATACTAATAAGACAGGCATCTCACCTTAAGAAACAACAACAACACTCATACATACAGAACCTAAAAAAGTTACAAGACCTACATAGAGCCAACCAAATCGCCCCCTCCAAGACCACACAAGACTCGATCACCGACTTGCAAAAAGAAATCAACACCTCCAACTTCCAGAAAGCAAGCTACGCACTGAAAAAACTCTGGCTCAAAGACTCAGGGACAAACAAGCTCAAACCAGAATCCCGTACCTGCTCTCCCCCCAGGGACAGAAACTGCTCCAAACCACACAAATTTGCAATGAATTTGCAACATACTATAGTTGCCTATATAATCTAAAAGACAACCCACAAGTACCCCAGCCGACCCAGGGTTCCATCACAGAGTATCTCCGCAGAATCGACATGCCTAAACTCCAAACACACCAAATAGCCTGCCTTGCGACTCGCATTACTACCCAAGAGATAACACAGCTCATCGAGTCCATGCCAAAAGGCAAAGCCCCGGGCCCTGATAGCCTTACTAACCTGTACTATACCACCTTTAAGGACATACAAAGCCCTTATATCACACGAGCCTTCAACTTGGCTACCCAGCAGGGAACCCTACCACCCGAATTCCTAGCAGCACATATTATAACCTTGCCCAAACCAGGAAAACCACCGACGGTTTGTCCAAATTTTAGACCTATCTCCCTGCTTAATGCCGATGCCAAATTGTATGCCAAAATCTACGCGGTTAGGCTCAAAACACTCCTGCCTAGCTTGATCACGACAGACCAAGTGGGATTTGTGGCGGGTAGACAGGGCCCAGACAACTCCCGGAAAGTACTTGACATCCTCCACTACCTTAACCGCTCCAAGTTGCCGAGCACGTTACTATCCCTAGATGCTGAGAAGGCGTTTGACCGACTCAATTGGCAATTCCTCCATGAAGTACTGACGAGATACGGGTTCCCACCAGACTTCCAAAACATGGTAAGAGCCCTGTACAGCACCCCATCGACCACGGTATTAAATTCAGGATTCAGCTCTGCCCCCAGCACAAATAGTTCAATATATTCGTGGGTGTCCACAAAAGTAAACACAGGGGGGATTTTGTCCCTCCCCATCCTGGAATGTCAGTAGAGGAAAGTTCTGTGGGCCATCTGGCCCTGAGTGCTACAGTGTGCCATCTAGTGGTCCTTACTTGACTTACAGTATACATGTTGGCAAAATATTGACATAATATCAATAATATCACTTGAAAAACTGCTAGCTAATGTTTTAAACCAACTCATGTTCACTGTAGTTGTCTTATGGAAGGATTTCATTACGGCACCAGACAGGGATGCCCCTTGTCTCCCTTACTATACGTGCTTGCGCTGGAACCATTAGTGATAGCCATCCGAAGTAACCAAAATATTAAGGGGATAACCATAGAGGACAGGGAATACATACTTAATCTGTTTGCGGACGATATTCTCCTCACACTCTCCAACCCAACAATTTCACTCCCCAACCTCCACAAAGAAATACAGGAATACAGCAAGCACTCATATTACCAACTAAACCTGACCAAAACTCAAGCCATGTGCATAAACATGTCAAAAGCGGAGGAGGAACGATACAAGCTCAACTTCCGCTATGACTGGAGAGATGATTACTTAACATTCTTAGGTGTTAAGCTAACGAAACACCATTCGGGCTTATTCGCTGCCAACTATGTCAAGCTCCTCAAAGAAGTGGAACAAACATTGCACTCATGGCAAAACAAATTCCTCTCATGGCTAGGCCGCATAGCGGCCATCAAAATGACGATTCTACCAAAAATCCTGTACATGTTTCACTCTCTACAAATACCCATACAGCAGTCATACTTACAAAGACTACAATCCCTCCTGATTAGATTCAGTTGGGGAGTTAAACTTACTAATGCGCCAGCCAGGGAAGGGCGGCGTGGGATTCCCAAACCTTAAGGCATACTACCACGCAACACAAATCGCCAACATACTCCATATGCACTCCACCACATACACCCCCCAATGGATCCCCATTGAAACAAGTTGCGGAGGAATAACAGACCTCACAGCAGCTATGTGGACGCCTAAGAAGCTGCACCACACACCTCGGAGCACCCTTCCCACCACTAAACTACTATACAACATATGGGACAACCACAGGGCCGCATTTTGCTCTGTTAGACCGTGGTCGATGGCAACGCCATTAAAAACGATCGCACTCTACAATAATACGTTCCCATATAGAGCATGGCAAGCTTGCAACCTCACACACCTACACCAAATCTGCACCGAACAAGGGCCACTCCCGCTCTCGACACTGCAATCCACATACAACATCCCAACACAGCTTACATTCTCATACTGGCAACTGAAAGCACTCTTAGTCAGCACTACAGGCAACGAACCATCACCCCAATTTGACTCCACCCTCACACCATTCGAAAAAATGTGCCTCCACCTAATCCCCACCCAAAAAACATTGTCAGTGTGCTATAGACACAACAATGCACACAAGCCAGAACCGGAGTGGCAGATCAAAAAGGACTGGCACAGAGACATAGGTAGAGCCCTCATGCCAGACGAATGGAACAGCATATACGCCAATCATAAGGGACTCACAGCGTGCGCCTCACACCTAGAGGCCTCACGCAAAATACTATATAGATGGTACATGGTACCTACAAGGCTTAAGAAAATCTATCCCAACATGAGTGATAAGTGCTGGAGGTGCCAGACTCAGATAGGGACCATGCTACACATTTGGTAGACCTGCACCCTGGTTCAGCCGTACTGGACACGAACAGCAAGGTTGATAAGAGAGGCTACAGGATGCATCCTCGAACACAATGCTGAAACATTCTTACTTAAACTCTTGCCCACCAACATACCTCACTGTATAACCCAACTGATATTCCACACTCTCCTCAGCGTCCATCTTACTGGCAAAGCAAGGGAAATCCTCCCAGATCTCCTCTATGGCAGAGGTGGTAGCGATGGTCGCTGCCACCCTGGACTATGAGGTGATTCTATGGAACCAAACAAAAATGGGTAAATGGAGCGCTACTGCGAAAGCAATATGGGCCACATACACAGCAAAGAGGGACCTACAAGCTGTAGCTAGGGACAATGCCAGTGATGGCACAGAGACATGACAATTGAACCTCGATGGTTCACAGAGGACACACTAGATATACCAGTTAACCCAGTTACTCCCCCCCCCATGTACAACCCTCCTTCCGCCCCACCCCTTTTTTTTTTACCTTACATAGCTACCCCCACTCAGGGGAACATACCTGAGGAACAGCCTCATCACGCCTATGAAGGCAAATGGTATCAAGGTTGCACACACTATATGCAAACCGACAGGCCTACTAGCTGTAGCCACAGCAGTCCGCAAAGGAAATGCTAACCAATAGGTCACAGTTTATGGGTAATAATGTTCTCTCTTTCCCCGTACGCACGTCTCGAGAGGGGATGAGTACTCCCAGTATGCGATTAGACGATGTACCGCATGGTGGGGGCAATAGCCGACACTCTTTTCTAAAATGTTGACGTGTTATGACATGTGCATAAATCACTCTAACCACCAGCCACGCCCTGTGCAGGAATTGTATGTAACCAAACAGAAATGTCACTCACTGTATAAATGTCACAGAATGATGGACAAACAGCTAAGTTGACAAACCTATTGAACTTAACGCTTGTTCCCCTGGACACCTTTCCTTTCTGTACCCCTCAGAGTCTTTTTGTTCACCAAAACAAAAATAAAAATTGTCAAATTGAAAAAAAAAAAACAGCACAAATAGTTCAATATATTCGTGGGTGTCCACAAAAGTAAACACAGGGGGGATTTTGGCCCGCCCCCTCATCCTGGAATGTCAGTAGAGGAAAGTTCTGTGGGCCATCTGGCCCTGAGTGCTACAGTGTGCCATCTAGTGGTCCTTACTTGACTTACAGTATGCATGTTGGCAAAATATTGACATAATATCAATAATATCACTTGAAAAACTGCTAGCTAATGTTTTAAACCAACTCATGTTCATTGTAGTTGTCTTATGGAAGGATTTGGAAATAATCTTCAGGTAACAAAATATTTCAGTCCATAAATTTGCCAGAAATTCTGGTGAAACGATCTGCCAACGCTAAGTTGATAATGAAATTCCATCTTTTATGAAAGACAGGCTCATGTTAATGCATTCTCTTTGAGAATATGATTAAAATGGTTGAATTTCACTTGGCTATTTCTGCAGAGGTGTCTCTGGTGGCTGCAAGAAAGACGTTGCCTTAAAATGAGAGGAACATGGCACCCAGATTACTTAATTTAGATGAATGGGCCTTGGTGCTTATAGTGCCCTTTTAACTTCTTGATTGGACCAAGAGAGAAGACATCCCTGATCTCTATCAGAAAAGACAAGACATGGAAAAGTGCATATTTTCTCTGGCTACCAATGGGTACATTTTAGATTTGTAAAAATGTATCACACGCATTCCGTGTTTGTTGGATATGTTGTGTAATATATTTACCAATGATTAAAATATAAATAAAATAAAATGTTTTACAATAAATTTAACTTGCTTAACAAAATAAAGCTAACATGCAAATTTTTAACGTCTTTGCTAACAGCGTCTATTTAATAATCAGGAACACAGTTGGCATAGCACAGCGGAAAAGTTGAAGAGAAATATGTTAATCAAATTCACAGTAGCATACTTTCCTTGAAAACCAGCACGCCTTCTAGGTGTTTGGGGTTACTGATCCCTGTCCAGCCCTGTTTACCATTTAATAACCACTTTTTGGGGAGAATTGAATTTTATGCATGTGCTCACCACAGGAGTTTTCTTCTATTTAGGACTACGCAGCATTTAGCAAACAGCCCAGGCAGAAAGTTGATTTTATTTATCTATAGTGTCACATGTTAACCTTTTTATTTTCTACTGCCTTGGGAACAGTTGCTGTATTTTAAATTTAATGTTTCAATTACTTGTTATGCTATTTTTCATTTAGTTGTTTTTGAAAACCAAAAGTGCTTGCTGGATAAATTTGTTTTTGTTTTGTGTTTTTGTTTTTTAATTACATATTATTTTTCTAGAATTAAATATGCGTTTACTGGCTTTATTCAGTTGACATTAAAGGAAAACACCGGACACCATAACAACATAATCAACATTAAGTGGTTATGGTACCCTGAGGTCCCCAGCATTGGCTTACCTTTAGAGGTTAATCCACTCACAACTTTATACCCAAAGTCTCCTCTCCAGGGCCCTTTTTCACTGCCCCATCCAAGAATCGCTTTCTCAAAATCTTAAAAATTTAAACCTAATGCACACTCTGATTGCTTTGAGTTTTCAACTGACACTCTGAGCCAATAACTGTGGCTTCCTATTCATAAAAAAAAAAAAAAATGGCTTGTGAAATGTACGTATTGTTCTCAAGTCATTTTGGTTGGCTTAGAGCAGGCTTCCCCAAACTACGGCCCTCCAGATGTTGCTGAACTACAACTCCCATGATTCTCAGCCTATCTATTTCATTCCTAGAATCATGGGAGTTGTAGTTCAGCAACATCTGGAGGGCCGGAGTTTGGGGATGCCTGGCTTAGAGCATCAACTGACTGCAGCAGTCCAAGGCTTGCACTTTGAAGATTTTCAGAGAGCGGATTTTGGAGGGGGCAGAGTGAAACATGCTGGAGAGGAGACTTTAGAGTTAAACAGTTCATGAACATTTCAACCCCTAATGATAAGCCAGTGCCAGGGATCTCTGGGCACCATAACAACTTAATTTTAAAGAAATTGTAATGATGCCCAGAGGGTCCCTTTAAATCTTTTTCTCGTATTAAGAAAGGCCTAATTAAGGCATACACCAACAACAAATGTTGAGAAAAATGTCTTCAAGATCAAGTGAAAAAAACCACGGTTAAGAAATGATTAAAAAAAGAGATTACATAGGGCATGAACCAAAATAATTTCCAAAATAGCTCGTCTCATTATGAGCACTGGGATGAAAACCGCAAGAGTCCGAATAAAGGGAATCAATTGGAGCTAATTAAGACTTAAAACCCACCGAGCAGGTTAGATATTGCTTTCAGCCAGTGCGAAAGATTGCTTAAACAGGTGTGTTCATGTTTGGGCTTTACAAAATGATCAGCTGAGATGTCATGGTTTGAAAAGGCTTCCTGGCTTGTTTGTCTGTCTGTGCTCTGATTCAAACATTACGTACTCCCAAAAGTCTAATGTTACATCAGGCTTACATGATATCATTGTTACACAAATACCATACAAATTACAAATGTGTTAAATCATACTGGATATCATGAAATATTTTGCAGGATTAGATCATCAAAAAAGAAAATCACAATAAATTAATTTACATTCTTGATATCTATCTATCTATCTATCCATCCATCCATCCATCCATCTATCCATCCATCCGTCCATCGTATGCGCTTTTATAAATGGAAAAACCTATACGTACAGGACAAGATAAATGCTTGTGTTACTTAATGTTTTGTGTCATTTAACATATTTGAAGTTCTTGACAGTGGAATTATGTGATACAGTGTGCAAACCCAAACCCGAGGAGTATTAAAGCAATATTCACTAAGCGACAATGAATATATGAGGAGTGCTCGATCTAATGACCTGATTTACCTAGTTTCCTACTCAAATCCCCTAGAATGTGCATGAAACAAAGATTAAGTAACAATTTGCAAAACCCTTTGTAGATCTGAGATGTGTTCATGTCATTACCTTGCTAAGAATGAGTGACTGATGTAGTAGCCGTAGTCTCTGTGGAATATTTCTGTCTCTGAAGTATTCCATAGTAGTGTGCTGTGATATTGTTAAAAAATGCCAACTATCTTACCAAGCATGCCAGGCAAATAAACTTACATTTCAACAGACACATAATTGTGCGAAATGGTAGATAAGATGAGTATATCTATACATTGCCATATTAGAATTGCTAGCAAATGTATAACGTTCATAAAAAGTATATGAAAGATATGGACTCATCTGTCATGAATCGATAATTTCTCTGCATTGAGGGTTATGCCAACAGCATGTCGATCTATGTCTATGACTGAGTGTCAAGACATAACAGAAGAACCCTCCTTCAGGTGGTTTACGTGTTCTCTGTCACAGCAACTACACTAAAATAGTTATTACTATGATGAGCACTTCTCACTTTTTTGGTGGAGATATATAGTAGCAGAGTGACTGAAGAAGGGTCAGTTAGCCACGGGCAAAAAAGACCAGGTTAAACTCTGTGTCTCCTTCCATTCTATACCTGTTTGCTATTGAGAACTCTGTCTCTTGTATGTTAAATTTGTAATTTCCCAAAGGTTGAATAAAAAGGGAATACTAAGTAATGAACATAATAATAAAAAATAAAAAAAAGTGCAATGACTATAGATTATCCTACACAGCATATATATAATAGCCTAGTAGCTGAGAAGATTAAGAAGGTTAAGATTGTTAAGATTGCTGAGGTAGACGCTGAGGTTCATGAGCTGCATCTGATGGTAACATCTTATTTGACAATAACACCCCAGGAGACCATATGCTTATGTAGGTTTGTTACCTATGGGTAAGGGAGTAATGAGTCTAATCCATAATACATATGGATTCAAGCAGATTTATCCATTCTGTAATGGAGGGGCAAATGGGGTCGTCCAGTGTGCGGGGATCAATACCTTGATGGTATTAAAGGGACACTGCAGTCACTATAACAATTTCATCTCTTTGAATTTGTTATAGGGCCTGGGGTACCCTGGCGCTGTCCCTCCATTCAGTGTTGTACCATGTTCGTGCAGTATGCCACAAAATAAGAGTCCCTGGCCACCCACAGTCCAGCCTCTCTGTATGTGTAACTAAGGAAGAGATTACACACTTCCTTGATGTCATACCCATTCATACCGTCACTTGGAGCTCTGACTGGATAAAAGCAGTCAGCTGACACTCTCAGCCAATCACAGCTGCCAACTGCTGCTCAGGCTAATAATTCCTTAATAGCCAAAGCAGCACAGAGGGGATGGACTGCCAGGGACTCTTGTTTAGCATTAAAACATTAATAACTGTTTAATGCTGAAAGAAATGATGGTATCAGGGGACTCCAGACACTATAACCAGTTTAATGGGATGAAGCAGATACAGTGTC